TCCACTATAGATCAAGCGATACAACGGAAATTACAACAATACTCGAGTCACTCAAATACTCTCAGTGTTTTTCAAGCCCCAATTATACCCAATAACTCACGCAGTGTTTAGCTCCAATAATTCATCACGAAATAATCTTTTAATCTCACGAAAAAATTATATACAAATCTTACCACAAGATTTAATCAGCTCGAACAGTAAATTATTAATGTAATTGCATGAACGAAATCAATGCCAAGGACTCGCGTGAAAAATGATGCTTCAAGAATCTCTTCACGTCAACCGCGGCGCTTCAAGACTTCTTCATCAACAACGGCGTTAGCTGCAATATACATGCGAGCAAGGGACGCCCAAGAGGAAACCTCAATTGCATTGAGATATGCCACCGCCAGGAAAAGTCCCAAGTTAGACCGGTCAAGGAAGTCAACTTTCCTTTTTCTTCTTTTGCGTTTATTTTTTTCTTCTTTCGTTGGCTGCCAACTCTTGCACATTAGAAAAGTAAATTTCCAATATTTCATCTTTTCGTCCCTGGCCGACTTTTAACTTGAGGAAATAATTCTTTGCACCCATTACAATATGTAATTTAATTTCCAAATCAGACAATCACGTGTAATCAATCTCAGGCCAAGTTTCTTTTAATTAGCTCAAACTCGAGACATATTTTAACACAAAATTACAATGTAACCCTTTGGCACAATTTTCGTCGAAAATTACTGGCGTGGCATACCGTAACGTTAGTGATTTCGGACGAAAATTGTACAAAAGGACTACATTGGAATTACATGTAAATGGTTTAGGACTAAATTGGCAAAATTAGAAAATTTAGAATTAAATCGACATCCGTACAATATGTTTAGGACTGATTGGACAGTTTCCCCATATTAGCCTTTCGATGATTAAGTTAGGAATTTAGAAGAAAATGGGGATGAGAAGTATTCAAAATAGGATTCTTAAGAGTTAAACCCTTCACTTTGTTTTTTGTCGAAAAGAGTCAAACCCTTCACTTGATTGAGCCTCTTATCTCATATAGACATTCTTTCTAGTGGGTTGTCGGTTCGCGACCGTCAAGCGGCATTACACGGTAAGAATTGTTAACGTAATGGACAAATGTCCACTATTAAACTTGTTATTTCGATAATATGTAGTGCTCTACAGAGGTCAAATCAATTGGTCCACGAATGCATGCTTGGCTTTTTGGTTAGTGGTGGCATCATCGTGGTTGCCAATTTGACGTGATTTAAGGGTTACCTAATCTAGATTTTGGACTGCTGATTATGTGCGATTTGCTGATGGCTAGCTCCCACGGGTGGATACCTGTTTTCTTGATACGTAGCATCTTTTAACACATCAATAAAAAATACCATCGTCAGCCGGAGATTGTTTACAATCGCTCGTTTCCTTAATAATCAGCTTGAGATTGGATTTCTTGATCAAGAAATTTATGCATGTCGATTCAAATGGGAATCTACAACCAGCTATTTCATTCTTGCACCGGAAATACTGTCCAGAGTATTTTGTTTTTCAGGTGGGAAACTGTAAAATATGGGACTTGACCAAGTAAAAAGGGAAAAGAAAAGAAAAGAAAAACAAAAACAAAAAGAGAGAGAGAAAACGTTGAAAAGTCAAAGAAGCAGATTAGTGGTGCCTTCATCTTTTAAAGACAGACAAGGCCGAGACTCGCACAAACAGAAAGAAAGGGAAAGGGGAAAAAAGAAAGAAAGAAAGAAAGAAAGAAAAGGATTAAAAGGAAGAAAGAAGAGGGGCACTCGCCACAGGTGTCTGGTCAGCCGATTCAACTGCGTATTGCAATGCCGGTAAGTGCTCGAGTCCCTCATTTGTCTAATCGGAGAAGTTTTCGAAATCAGGATTTAGTTTCGAGGTTTTGTGAAATTTGGATTGCGTATTTAGAATTTTATGGTAATGGCGGATTATATTGTTGTAAAGCCGCGGGGTTTGATGGAGGTTGATTTGAAGCAACGGTTTCGTTGGAGCAAAATTTTATCGTTTTGCAAGCAAGTTCCGTGTTGGGAACGGCTTGAATAATCGCTTTGGGTGTGCGATTTGTTGACGTGCAGGAGTTGTTTTGTTGGCATTTAAGCGAAGTTTAGCCGATTCGTAATTGTTGTAGTATTTTACTTGATTTTGACGTCGATTCTCGTTTAATTGTTAGGATTACGAGACGTCGGTTCGAGTGAGCGTCGATGTTTGGTTTTTAGGCATTCCAAGTGAGTGATGCTATATCTTTTATGAATTTGTAAATTCATGTCTTGAAAGTGATAAATATTTGAGTACCGTATAAGTTATTAAAGTAGGTTTATTGCATAAATCTGGATTAGGCAATTACTACCTTTTAGTATTTGTGAATGGTTTGAGAATTGTTTTCTGAAAGGTATTGTGAAAGGATTTGTATATATGTGGCTTTACGAACTGGTTTATGAATTGAATTCGGAAAAGATTTGAGAAATGCTTTGAGAAAGGTATTTTAATGGATGAGATGTATTGCGAAAATGTTATTTGTTTCGGTTTATAAAATGTGTTATGGTTTATGAGATTGATTCTAGATTGGATTTCCTAATATTGGAGAATGATTGTTTGATGCTCAATATAATTGTGAACTTGGTTATGGGTTTCTAAGTATGCATACTGGTGTTAGGATATGTTTCCGGGTCAAGCCACCGACTGATTCTCAAGGGAGAAATCTTGGTTGTCTTGTCACAAGACGTTGTGTCATTGCCATGGTTGATATTAAAAAGGGATAAGTGCACTAGAAGTCCTAAAACTTGTCACAAAAGTGTAATTGAGTCCTAAAACTTGTCATAAAAGTGCACTTGAGTCCTAAAACTTTCAAAAAGTGCAAACAAGTCCTAAAACTTGTCACGAAAGTGCAAACAAGTCATAAAACTTTCAAAAAGTACAATCAATGAAAGGACTTGATTGAACCAATTTGACAAGTTTTAGGACTTGTTTGCACTTTCGTGACAAGTTTTAGGACTTGTTTGCACTTTTTGAAAGTTTTAGGACTCAAGTACACTTTCGTGACAAGTTTTAGGACTTGTTTGCACTTTTTGAAAGTTTTAGGACTCATGTACACTTTCGTGACAAGTTTTAGGACTTGTTTGTACTTTTTGAAAGTTTTAGGACTTAATTGCACTTTCGTGATAAGTTTTAAGACTTTGAAAGCACTTATCCCTATTAAAAAAATAGATTGATCGATGGATAGACCTTCAACATGTGATTTGATATGAGATGGATTAATGGAATAAGACCATTGATGTGTGGTACGGGATTTGATAATGGAATGGACCATTGGCATGTGATTTTAATGAGATTGATCAATAGGTTGGATCATTTATAAATATAGCTATGTTTAAACTATATAACCCCTTCTCTTATTATAAGTTTGTTACATCCTCAAATTTGGTGTAATGAATTATGTTTTTGTGTCTTAAATATGTATAGTGGATGCTCGATCTATTTAGAAGAAATACGCACTACTTACTAGACTGTGATTGCTCACCCCTCTTTTTTCCAAATTTTTTCAAGTCCCGGCCAATAGAGTGAGAGCGATATCTACAGGGATCTTTTGGAGTTAGTTCTTTGGTTGTGTTTGAGGTTGCATCCTTCGAGTAGAAGAACGGCTGTGTCACTCTTCCATTCTGGTAGGATTTGGAGTGTGACCGAAACAACGTACAAAGATTGGAATTTGGATGTATTGTCATGGGAGATAAGTACAAACAACTCACGTCACTTAGGTTATATCGATTACACAACCTTGAAGTTATTGTGTACCATCTTCAAGTCATCCAAAGGTAAAGACATCGTGGATTGTTAAGTTGCAAAAATTGAGAGAATACTCAATCACCTAATTACATTCATGTACAAAAATGATCATGTACCATAAACTCTTAGCCGGTTACAAAGAAACCAATTGGAGTTTGGACAAGAAACTAGAGAATGGCGTGGATAAACGGCCGCCTTAAAACCATCCGCAGTTTGATCGGCAAAAGAGACATGGACAAGATCAAGAGTCTCGAAAAAGGTGTCACATACCAAATGAAGCATCTGTCATTCTCAATATGTTTAGTATGCTCACGAAAGTGCGCTCATGAAAAAAATTATTTTGCGCGATTTGAATGGCACTTTTAATAACCATAAAATGTTCTATTAGGATGGTGGTTTTCCAATAATACTCTAGAATCGAAACTTAACAAGTTTGGTCGGACATGCATATATATCTACACCAACTAGAGGAGCTGACTAATCTAAGAGTGTGCTTGCATTTGGAGAACCAAAAAATTGTCTTAGGAAAAAGGAACACCTAGCTCTAGAATTACATGCTCAATAGAGCTTTCCCGTCATACAAAAAAAAAAAAAAAAAGCCCGCGGGGAAATTTCACTAAAACAAAAATGTAGAACAGAGAAGGGAAATTTATATATAGAGCCAAGCACGCGAAAATAATAGTCATTCTTATTGCAAAGTTCGGTGTTCTTGCAACAAGTCAAATATAATCCTAAATGCACTACTTTTCTTTTCCTAGTGGGTATTGATTGACCCTTGGCATCGACTCAAATCTTCAAATAAGGGACCTTCTAGATTTAGTTGAACGTTGATACTTGATCCCATACGTGAAAGTTTGACTGTCATAAATAAAGGGGACAAAACAACAAATCATCGAAATATTCAGAAAATTAGATCAACTCTTCTAAACGAAAACTCGAAAATCACGGGGAAACTCAAAGATATGCATGAAATATTTTATTTTCCATAGATTGAAAACATAGAGAAGAAAGAAGAACTCGAATTTATGAGGCAAAAGACAAAAATTCCGATAATTTATTTTTCTCTTTTTTCTTCACCCACATTTATGTGGATACAGTTCCATAGGAGATCAAATGAACCTGTCCATGACCTCCATCGAGTCCAAAGTTTGTTTCGTTCACGATTTAAAAAGAGTCCATTTCGTTTCCTTGCTCCATACGCCTATTGCTCTTTCCGCCTTTCATTTTTGTTTTGTTTGGCTCTTCTTGTCAGCATTGTTGTCTTGTTTCAATTATACATACAAAGGAAAAAGACCAGTGGCTTTTATAGGTCCATCCATCTGCCTCTTTTCTGCCATCTTTGATTAATTATCACTTTCCTCTTCTCCTCCTTCTATAGTCTTTGCTTCTTCGATTGCCAGGTCTGTTTAATTCTTCTCCATCTCCCTCTTTTGTATTGTCTCTTTGACTTTCTTCAAAAGTCCCTTCAAATCCCAGGGTCACTGCTCTGCACACAACGGAAATGAAGGTGAGACTCAAGACCTTCCTTTTGTTAACTCAGTCTGATGATCTGATCATGATGAGTTTCGTGGAAAACGTTTCTTGAGTTGCTTTTTCAGTGTTCATCTATATGAAATGCATGCGTTTTCTCTTTTTCGAAGTTTTCATCATTTTTGGGATCTTTGATATGATGCACCTCCACTCCTTTCAAGTTCTGAAAGTGTTTTGACTTTTCCAGAATCAGTTCAGTTTATTGTCTTTTGACTTTTACGGAATTTTTTTGCTCTTCTTGTTTGGGTATTAATGATCTTTATTGTTCCTGTGCAGAAGATGGTCTTGAAAGTGGATTTGCACGATGAAAAAGCAAAGCAGAAGGCCATGAAAGCAGTTTCTGGCCTTTCTGGTAATAACAAAACTTCCCTCTCTTTGTCTCACGGGGTATAAGTATTTAGATTACCAACTTCATATAAGAAACTAGTTGCAATTGGCTCAGATAATGAAGAAGGCATTAATCACAAATATGAGAATTAGCTCAAACACTTTCTTAATTCCTTTGATGGGGTCATAAGATAATTCGTTCAATGTCGTTTGGTCTCTCAGATAGGCCTCTAATTGCTATTGCTCTATTCTTTATTCTTTTTTTTTTGGCATCGCCAGGAATCGATTCTCTAGCCATGGACATGAAGGAGCAGAAAATGACAGTCATTGGGGCTGTTGACCCAGTCGAGGTGGTGAGCAAGCTGAAGAAGAAATGGCACGCCGACCTTCTGACGGTCGGGCCGGCCAAGGAACCCGAGAAGAAGAAGGAAGAGCCCAAGAAAGAGGAAGGCAAGAAGGATGAGGACAAGAAGATTGCAGAGCTTATCAAGGCGTATGAAGCCTATAATCCACACCTCACCAAATATTACCCCGCGGTCAGCATGGAAGAGAACCCGAATGCTTGTGTCATATGTTGAAATTAAATTTGAATTTTCTTTGAGGTTTGAGAGAGCAGAAGTGGGATTGAGATGTCGGTAATTCATGGTTTGGTTGATGTTCCTGATGAACAAGCCCCCAAGATGTACCTGAAAGCCAGGGCTTCCTTTTGTAAAGTTCATACTTCATAGGGGTCAATATGTCATCTCCGCTTTCGCAATTTACACTGTTGATGAGAATATGTATAGATATATAGAGAGAAGTAATATTGAACACGTTTTTGGTGGGGAGAGGAAATGAATGTACAGATTTTTCTGGGCATCTCTTGAATAACCCCTGTGCTTTATACCTCCATTTTTTGTTATTGACTGTGCCTTGAGAAGTATTCGAGCATCTTGTTGTTGCAAAACCTGATATTTTACTTTGCTTTCACTTAGATTTGAGCATCATGCCCTTGAGACAATGATTGGGGCATCGGCCCATAGGGATTTTGATAACTTGGCTTTCGGGTATGCTCAGATTAACAAATATGTGCACAGAAACTCTTCGCGTTCGAAAAAACTGCATGTTTAAAGATTACTAGTAGTGGACAGACATCTGTGAACAGTTCGTTGAAATGATGTCTTGCACTTTTTTTTTTTTTTTTTTTGGTCGAAGATGTCTTGCACTTGCACTTAGCTGGGTCAGTCAATGTACTGAACTTTCGTCATAGTTATGGCTTCTTCCATTGTTTTAACAAATGCTTGCTGATATTTGCGCGTGCTGTTCCATGCGACAGTAGATCAATCACAGCTTTGTGCTGTAGATTAGACTTGAAGGATGACCTTTGCAAAGTCAAATCTCTTGAATGAAGTCGGATTCCTTTTGCCTTCTCATGGTGTGTATTTATATACCCTCTGGAGCATTATGGCGTTAGTTTATCCGCTCTCGAATCTCCATTAGTCTTTCTTTTGATCACCTCACGGTATCAGAGCCTTTTTGTTCATTATCATCAGGTCAATGCTGTAGTTCTGTACCATTGATACATCAGTTGCGTAGAGAAGAGATACACATCAACGTGACTGAACCCACTCCAAACATTATTTGTCTCATCCAAGCACTATCATAAACTAGTGACCTTGACTGCTCTGATGACGCCAATGATGGTTCTTTTTTCTTTCGCCCCAGATCTCCAAAGGACAATTCACCAATAGTTGACATTCGAAGGTTCTACATGATCCAACCGGATCAATTAGACCTCCTTGTTTAAATTTTAATGGATGCCTGTGCTAAATCTCACGCAGAATTTCTCCAAAGGTTTGGAAACCCTCTTATGGAAAATTTCTGATTTCTTTGCTCATTGTCCTCTCAAGAAAAATGAGGATATCAACCCCGCCAGGGCTGGTCACTCAAGAAAAATGTTTTTGCAGATCTTGTCTCAAGGCCTAAAGAATTTTCATCCTTCTACATGCTCCCAACTGCATCCTTACATCAAGCTATTGGCGGATGGCCTTAGGTCCGCCAAACCTACGAAGACACGTGCCACCTAAAATGCTTCAGCTTGTCATTTCTGGATAATTTTTAGAGATACCAAACCTCTCATTCGACTATATGGAATTATATCTGAGAGCATTGGGATCAATCCGAATAACCGATTTATCCATGTCTTCACATTTGACATCACCAATTTTCTAGTGGAATCAAGCTAGTTATAGTGTTATTTCACAGCTACATCATAGTCTTTCAATACCCTACAGCCACAGTCCTTAGGATCACTCTGGTCTCTCATCGAAGGAATTAAAAAATATTATTTTAAGCATTTTGCAGAGGTTCTTGAATGCTTTTACCTTTTGCCTTAATGACGGAATCTATTTTTCATTGAAGTGCAAAGCTCCAAATCCTAAAGTCAGTACAACTATTTTCTTCAACAGAGAACATTAACTGTATGGGGGGCAGCGGGACAAATCAATCGTGCTTTAGCTATTGCTAAACTGTATAGACCTTTTGGATGCAGTTTCAAAGAAATTCACGAAGAATATTGAGAACTTCAAAGGTTGGTAGCCTGAAGTTTTTATGGCCACTTATTAAGAGAAAATGCAATGGGACTATTGCCATGCATGTCATGGCACCAGAATGTTATCCACTAGACATTAGATGAGTACAAACAAATCAACCAGAATCAATAGATTTTTCTATCTAGTGAGACTTCAAATAATCTTATCTTGAAGACACCTAACAATTAGATTTTAGCTCTGATGAATATCGTAATCTCGACCCAGATCATAGTCTCATTAATAAGTGATAAATCTTTTAGAGTTCACGTGACTACTATAGTAAAGTTAAAAGTTGTAAGCTTTGTCCTATTATTAAGTCCACACCATGCTTTTTTAGCTTTCGTTGTTCTAATAACTCTGTAATATTCTTTGCCAGTTTGCAATATGCTTTGTTTGGTCATGAAAAAAGTCCGTATTACCCTTCAACCTCAGTCATATAAGGCATGGTCAATAACAAAAGTAGAGTTTGAAGGTTAGAATAACAAATTTGATATGATAAGATGAGCTAGTTCAGTAAGTGTGCTCTCTTATTGATATTCTGTGGATCAAAATGTGTTTTTTTAGACCAGAAAACCTTAAAGTGGAGATTGATGATATTCGGAGACTAACAGCAGTCCCAATTAACGGTTCGAAGCAATGCCTTGAGCGTTGGGAAAGTATACCTATCTCGAATCTACATTAATTGACCTCTTAATCACTGCTGTACCAAGGACAATTTGGATATGTCAACATCCCAAGTCCCAACCGACATTCTCAACCTCCTGACAATATTATTTTTTCTTTCTGCAACCAGCGGTTCTAATTGGCAGGCATTGACTGTTAAGTAACGAAATGAACCATCTCCCAGGTTAATTTATGCTCGCCGGACTACAAAGAAAACGACGATCATCAATGTTCTTATCGTTGCCTTGGAGATTAACATTCCCTTGAAGGACAGCGACTGCGATATTATCCAAGCCGGGGTGGAGCCGAACGATGACCATGTCCTGCAGAAGCTTCTATCGTTTACTCAATGACATCCATGGCTTTATCTTGTGGTTGAGTGAAATGACGGTACAACAGTTAAAGATCAAGTTCCAAAGTGGGGTGGTGAATAAAGAATTGAAGATTTTACAGTTTAACATGTTTAAAAGTTTTAACAGTTTTGGACCATGACTTCTAGACTCGAGCAAGTCAAAGTCACGGCAAAAATTCAAATCTCGACTAAACACGGTCAGATTCGAAAGCCCGAGCAGCCGCGAGTCGGTTATGTTACTGTGAGAAAGTCTGTCGAAAAGTACTACTGTCACAAAACCACCAATTTGGAAAAATTCTTGGCACTATAGGATTAGTCTCAAAAGGCCAATACTTGTGGCATTAGCTTTGTTCTGTTGGGTCTTGACTTGTGCCGCAATCAATTGATATGCTTAGGTTGCCCTAATGGAATGCAATTGTGACATCATCGGCTTTATCCTGAAAGCGGATTTTGTCTACCGGTTCCATAATTAATTTTGGATTGTTTAAGCTGAGCAGCCAAATTCAATTCAAACATCCATCTGAACTCTTTCATGGCAGCTACAAAAGAAGCGATGAAAGTCAGATTGCTCATCATATTTGACTAGAAAGATGGGATGACATTGATTCCTTACCTACCGAATTAATTTAGTATCTTGACAAAGATTGGTCTCAGTTTTCTCATTTTTGGTAGTTGCAGCTTCCAGAAAGCAAACAAGGGGCAGATAAACAAGTTTAATTCCTCTTAATGTTAAATAACTACAGTTAGGGGTGAGCGGTTCCAGGTTCCTTACATGTTCCACATGGAACTTGGAACCTACCCTCGGATACATGTTCTCCCTTTTTTGGAACCTAGAATCTACCTTGTCACAGATTTCAGGGTAGGATACAGGGTCTAACGGGTTCTTTTTTTTATTGCATTTTTAGTTAAACAAAGCATAAATGAACACAACAATACTGATCAAGCTTTTCATTCATCAAAGAGAATACAAAACATTAGTTTTCCTGGCATTACGGTTCAAATAAATACAACTAAAATGATAAATCATTGTATGAATCGATACCAGGAGTGAACAGTTTCATGTTCTGCATAGGTTCCACCCATGATAATAGGTTCCTCATTTTTTAGAACTTGGAACTTACCCTATCACAGGTTCAAGGGTCGGTTCCAGGATCTATTCAGATTCCACCTGTATTATTAATTGAACAATTGCAGTGAATCATCACTTTTAATAACCACCACTTACTGATATGATCCACTAACCACAACTTATATTTAGACACACGAAAAATATGAAATTTTAACAAGTCATAAAATAAAAGCTCAAATTAGTGGTTTCAGATCATACACTCATCATCTAATGCCATGAAACACCGCGAGATCACGAGAAGATAGGTTCTAGGTTCCACCTACCTAGAATCTGAAACATACCCGTCAAAACAGGTTCCCCAATTTTTGGAACTTAGAACTTATCGTGCATACCTTGGAACCTGGAACCTACAAGTTCCCATTGATCAGGTTCTCATGTTTTAGGATAGAACCTGAAATCATGCTCACCCTAACTATAGCAGCTTTGAAAGCCTAACTAAGTACTTTTTGTCGCGTTGCTGCTGTATACTTCCCTTACCTTTTTTCAGCTAATATTTATCGAGAAGGGAAGAGAACATTAAACAAAGCACAAACTCATTTGAGAAAAACACCAGGATAAGCTGAGAAGGTCAGAGAGACTATTGTTTGCCGTTATATGCTAGCCTTCCAAACTGTGTGATGCCCAGGAATTCAGACATCCTCCTCCGGAAACCAACAGAACAGTCTGAATATTGTTGAAAAAGTGAATCCTGACTGGTACCGGCTTATACTCTAGTGCAACTTAGGCCTATCTTAGGGATGATACAGGAAGGTACTGGATCAGGGAAGACTTAAAATGCCATGCTTGATGAAAAAATGGAATGAAAGAACGAACAAATTAACTTTTCGCAGGATGCATTTTGCACCCAGTTACAAGGTAATAGTCCTGACCTATTTTTTTTTTCTTGTCTACCAAAAGAATGTTTGATCTATCTACTAAGCACATAAGGACTCCAGTGCGCTGTTTTACATTTGGACAACGTTGAATTTCACAGAAAAATTGAATTTAATTTTCCCTTTTGTAGAATTACGCGATTATCATCTTCAAGTTCTGGCTTGAACCAGTGGTGATTGAGGGATGGGCGAGTGAGGGGACATAATGCAGGGCGTCCTCATCACATCTTCCATTCTTCGGAACGGGAAGTTGAGTCTTAGGTTGCTCTGGCAAGACTTTTCCTTCCTGCCCGGCTTATCGCCATTCCTCAGCACAAACTCTCGGATTCGTGTTAAAGCGACCTTCATGGTCTCCTCATTCATGTTGGCAATGCAAACTCTGAACCATCCTGGCTCTGAACAGTGAAAGGAAGAACCCGGAGAGACATTGAGCTTGACATCGTTAATTATGACACGCCACAAAGCCGCCTCTGCCTCCACAGTGCTCTCCCTGAGGAGCCCCCTCAAATCCATCCATAAGAAGAGACCCGCATTGCTGTTCAAGCACTTGATGCCTACTTGACGAAGTCCGTCAGTGAAATCCTTATGCCTCGTGGCTAACCTCCCCGAACTCTCTAAAAGGAATTTCCCGATGAACTGATCATCCGATAACATGGATGCAATTAGGTACTGAGTTTGGGAGGATACTAGACCGAAGCTGGACATCTTCCGGCCGCACTCTACCATGGCATTATTGTATGAATACACAATCCCAACCCTGAAACCGGGGAAGCCCATATCTTTCGAGAGGCTATAAACTATATGGACAAGGTTGCGATTGTATTCTTGATCTTCCTCGATTATCTCCGCGATGCTTACGAAATTGGGCTGACGAAAGACTGTAGCAGCATATATCTCATCACAAACTAGGTGGATGTTTTTCTCGTTGATGAAGCTCATGAGTTCTTTCAACGTGTCTCGGTCTAAGATGGTTCCCAGTGGGTTTGATGGATTGGTTATGAGCAACCCTTTTACTCTGATGTTGGCCTCAACAGCTTTTGCGTATGCATCTTCCAAAGCCTTCCTGGTGACCTTGAAATTGTTAGAGCTGTGACAGACCACGGGAAGAAGTCGCGCTCCAGTCCTCCAACACAAATCTCGATCAAATCTGCAAAAAGATCATATTTTTTTCAATCAACTTGAGAAGAAACAAGTTGTCATACATAAACATAGAGGTTCTGTTTCACCATTCGCGTTCATAGTCGGCCATGAAAACTCTTCTTTGTTCTTCTTGGAGAAACATAACAGTCATGTGAAACTTTAACTCTTTATCCCAAAAGCTTGTTAACAGAGATGCCATACTGAGTATTAAACGTGCCCAACACTCTCTAGCGCACGAAAACTGAACCTTGTACGAGTGAAAGCATGCTTTCGTTCTTCAAATTCACCCGACTCACTCACCAGGTCATTTTAGGACAGGTTAGATCAGCTTTGAGATGAACAAAAGTTATAATCAGTCTTAAGACGACCACCAAAAAGCAGTTGAATTGAGCATGTTTTTGGCAGGAGTCGAGATAGCTAAAGGCCCTAATTTGTCACCTGGAAGATGTGTCCAAGAACTATATTGAAGAAAACGACTTCACTGTTCAGGGAAGAGTAGCCTCTAAAAAATGGCCTCATCTGTTTTGTCGGGACATTGAATAGAATTCTCCCAACATGGTACCCGATTTCAATTATTGTCCAGAGCCAGAGGTGACTATTCACAAGAACAGCAGGTCCTTTTGGCCGTAGCGTTGGATGGTGACCATGAAATTTCGAGGCAACTTGCCCCGTGTCTGATTCAACTCCTCTAGTTGTCATTGACTAATCATGTGCGGGCTATATCGACTAATTATACTTACAGGTCGTCATTTGGGAGAGATGGAGCGAAGCAAAACAGTTGGAAAATGATGTAATGTGTCTTAGTAGGATTGCCAGCGGCCGGTGCAAAAATCCGTCTTCAATGATGAACACGGCTTAAATTTGATATAAAATTCCTAAGGTAACAGTCACATGGCAAACATAATGAGGCAACCCAATCATTCTTTTAATAAGATTACTTTTGTGCTGAGATGAATAAGAACCATTAACTCGCATCGAATAAATAATATAGTTTTTCTTCCCGGTAGTAGCCAAACTTTTTTTAATCTTTCCCATGCCTAAGTTGGAAGGTGACACCGTCTAATCTAATCTCCAATAATGTGAACAGTTGAAGCCCACCTAATCCCATCAGTTTTGCATTAATCATATTAACTAAGCCCATGATGTATTAGATTGGAAAACAGAAAATAATGAGAAATCTTACCCTGGATAATAGGGGGTTGGCACCAAGAATGCATCACCAGGATCAGCCAGGCAAAATGTGATCAGCTCAAGAGCTCCTGTGGCTCCCCCGCTCATGACAATCCGGTCAGGCTCAAACCTGACCTTGTCCCCTCTCACTCTCCCCATAAACTTTGCCACAGCCTGCAAAAAATCATGGCCTTAAAATTCTGTCCGGTCATCAAGCTCTTACATTTCTTTTCACACATTGATTAATGGTATAATGCACAGATTTGGGTACTGAAAAAAAGAGGGAGACACTGAATTGATTCGCCCAAACATACGTTTCTGAACTCGGGCAAGCCATGATAGTCCTGAAAGATGGCAATGTCCCTGAACTTGTCCACTCCTTCCTCAGTGCAAATGGAGGCTTTTGGGTTGTTCACAAGCCATTCTTGAACCAAATCGAAACAAAGCTGCATATTGGAGTATAAAGTTCACTTTTTGAGCTTTCAGTACAAGATCCGTTCATTGAAAAAGACGAACTACAAGCAAGTTGTTTTCTTTTTCATTTTTTTTTCTCTTTCTTTTACCTGATTTTCTGCAAGACCCATTTGGATAACGCCATTGGGATTCTGTGTGGGATGAAATGGGTTCTTGTCATAAGCCTTCCACCCATCAAAATACGGGGACTTCTCGGCATGGCCATCGTTGGTGGCTATTTTCGATAACAACGGCGTTCTGTTGCTTGAAATGTAACTCATTGTCTTCAAAGAACAAGAGCTTCTTGGGTTTTTAGCTTCGCAACTTGTAATCTAGCAAGAAAGGTAGGCACAGATGAAGGAAAAGTTCGCGGGAAAAGATTTCGAGATTGTCGTTGAGACGAGCAAGAGAGGAAGTTGAGTGATTCATGCTCGGAAATGGAGTCTATATATACACACACACACACACGTAAATGTTGGGCTTGATCTCACTAGTAGTGAAGGTTCTTGGAAATTAAGAGACGGGCTTTTGATTATAAACTTTGGCGACGAATGGTGGGCACTGTGAAGATGATGAGTTGGAAGCATGTCGCGCTTTCTTGGGTCTTGACCCGGAATTTCCACGCACTAGCGAGTTCAATGAACGCGGCCTTAGACCTGTTCCAACGAGAAACCAGTTGCATGTATGAGCTATAGTTCATTTCTCCAACGTTGGTTTAAGTGGATTGAGAACTGAAAAAAAATGCTTTTTTCCAACACTCATCATGTCAAGTTTTTATTTGGGTCAATACCATGAAAAACGACAAATTGATGCACCGTGACAAATTTACCCTAAAATAATTTTTTGACCACCAAAAACCCTAAAATGATACATTTATGACAAATTTACCCTCCATTAGTTTCTGTTAAATTTAGATTAATACCACAAAAGATCACAAATTGGTACTCGTGAGAAAATAGAGAGTAAAACCCAAAACTGGTACATCCGTCAGCTACCGCATGTCATTTAACAAAGTAATTTAAATGTAAAATTTAACGAAAATTAACACAGGATAAATTTGTTGCAGGTGTACCAGCTTAGGATTTTTGGTGATCAAAAAATTACTTTTGGGTAAATTTGTCACAAGTGTATTAGTTTTGGATTTTTAATAGTATTAACCCTTTTTTATTTTTAGAGGCTTTTAATTAAAAAGATTTTGTTAAAGAGGTTTATGAGGAAAATAAATAAAGAAAAGGTTTACAGTTTCCTATGTATTGCATGTCATTGTAATATGTATAATTAATGCTTAGAGAATTGAGTAAGGGTAAATGACACTTATGGTCTTTGAATTTTGGTTCAATGTACAATATGGTTTCCTAACTTTATATTTGTTCAGTGTGGTCCTTGAACTTTAACCTAATATACAATGTGATCCCTGAACTTTTATTTTCCCATATTTGAATAGACCTTTCAAATGAGGGAGAAATCAATTTCCAATTGTTGTTGTCGAAAAACTTTAGAAGTACTTCTTGACAAACAAATCGAGGTCTAACACAAAACCCTGAAACGACAATGCCCCGACTAGGGACCTTGCACCGGGACCCCAAGGGACAAACCCAAAACCTTGCAACCTAGACTTGGACCATATGCCCGAACCGGAGACCTCGGTGAATGAGCTCGAGAACATGGTGCTCACATTCAGTTCATTTATTTTTTAAGCGATAAAAAATGGTAAAAAAATGAGAAAACTATTTTTGAGTAGTTTATCTTTTTCCTAACAAGTGGACACTTATGCAAAATTTTGTTGTGGCTATTTTCCATTTTCTTCGGTGCCAGGGTCTTTGGATGATTATAGAGAAAATTACCCAATTGGTTCTAAACTTATTGTACATATGTCAATTAAGTTCTAAACTTTTCCATTTTATCAATTTAGTCTTAAACCTTCACATGAAATTCTAATATAGTCCTTCCGGCCAATTTTTACGTAAAATGGCTGATGTGGCGGTCCGGTCATCGTCCATCATCCTACGTGGCAAGTCGCCAGTTCAATAAGTTCCGGCAAAATTGATCGGAAGAACTACATTTGGAATGTTGCGCCAAAGTTTATAATTAAATTGACAAAACCGAAAAGTATAAGACTGAATTGACATCCGTACAATAGATTATGATTAACCGGACAATTTCCCCGATGCTTATATACAATGCTTCGGTTATACGAAGAATTCCTCATCGCATAATGTTGCACGAGTGTTTTTCCTAACACTAAAGATGCGAGTTCGATGTAGGGATCCTTTCATATGGCGGTCGTAGCAAATTTGGCTTCCCATATTCTTTACGCGTGGGGGAAAAACCGTCACATCGTTCTTTTGTACCCCGATGCTGCGCAGGAGATTTTCGTGTTCGAAGAGAAACTGATGATTCATATGCATCGCACTTTCGGCAAAGAAAGGCAACGATCACTGGTCGAAATCAGCGTGGAAAAGGATTGACTGAATGTTCACCCCCCCTTCCCGGAACTTAAAGCGAAGCGTGTTTTGTCGTCCTTATGTCAAGGGATCATCGCAATTTTTATCCTTTTCTGTACAAGAATGTAAGAAATCCTACAAATTTATCGCTAAGAGGAATTGAGTCTTGGAATTTCAAATAGTGTAACCTAGTCTTACAACATCATCAATTAGCTCAATCAAGTATCTCTGTCAGCACATTTCAATTTGAATGACTGAAAATACATGCGTAGCTTTGTCGGAGACGATTCAAGAAACTGCTGATGTGATATTTTTCAATACTCTTTCTAAGTTCCAGTTGATGTGGTGACACGCATCGGTAAGGGGCTGCACGAGGGTTGCCGAGGAAGGTGGGGGGCAACATACCGTGCCAATCAATACCCCTCTCCTCGGGCAATCTCTCTCTCTCTCTCTCTCTCTCCAATGTTTTTTTTTTTTTGGCTTTTTAAAGTTTTTCATCTCGTGACATCACAAGACACCTCATTAATATCATGTGCAAAAGAAAAAAAAGATTTTCAAAATGACCCATCATTGTTTTCTGTCGCTTAAATTGGACTAACGGAACTTGCTCGACGACGGCTCCTATCAATGCTACATCCCAAACATGAGATTTGAGATGTAAGGCAAGAGAGAGTCAACAGACTTGGTCTTGAGAAATTCCATATCAAGTTGGCGTAAACAAATCAAAAAAAAAAATCTATATCATATGAAATATTAAAAAAAAACTCTTATCATTAATTTTTGACATCACGTCCATGTCAGCAAAATCCATTGTGACAACCTAAGAACGATAGGCAAATCCCTTTAAAAAGTACAACTATTTTGAATAAAAAATGGTAGATGGAAGAGTTTAAATTTCAGACAAAAATATAGGAATCTTTCGTGATATTATCTCTTACATGAATGACTGAGAGTATTCACATCTCTCCGTACGTCTATCGATTGCAATAATTCATCTAGCACACGCGTACATGCCTGCCTCCTTTTACTAGGTTTTTTGGTTGGCATAACAAGTTTTACGGATTAAGTAAATTTGACAAATATGTATCTTATCTTTCTTGCACTTACACACATGTAATGTGTGCGTGAAATCAAAGTAAACATAAACAAAATGATGAGAGACGAGGAATTCAAACGTCTATCCGATACTTCTTAAGATTAGTCTCGTTGCATGTCCAGAGGAATTCCTCGAGCCATCAGACCTGACATGTTTGCTGTCGAAGGTATAACTTTGGACCATGTTAAAGGCCAAAAACATGACAAAAGGGTCATCAAAACATCAGATTTTCTAAGTCAACCCTCATATTGTGGTCGGGTCAATTTTGGTCTCCCTTCGTTAGGTTTCATTCTTTATGTTACGAATTCTCGTCAAATGTCTGGGGTAGAACGAGGACTCGTGCACGTGGAGGGTTGAGAAGTTCGGTTCATACACGAACTCTCGCCCGAACGAGAATCAAAATCACGATTTGTACGACCATTCGCACTTCGATTTCTGCGGTAATTCAAAATTTGATAGAAATTCTGGGTCATTTTGCATTTCTCTCTAGGTAATTTTCGGCATGTCAAAATTGTCGTAGAAAAGCTATTCAAAAACTTGTTTTTCATACTTTCATTTTATTGGGAAATTACCAAAAAAAAAGTATTAAACCTATTGTATTTATATCAATTTACTCATAAATATTTCGAATGTGCCAATTGAGTCTATCCGGCCAATAGTGTATATCTATTTTTTTTGGTCGAAATAGTGTATTTCTGAAAAATGTTTTCCTGAAAGTCATTTTACAAGAAAATGACAATTTTTTCATATGTTTAGATGAGACCTGATAATAAACTGACAGATATTTTCCGTCTTTTGATAAGAAAAATCAATCTAAATAGACATATACTATCCGGGTGCTAGTAACTTGCGTATGGGTAGCCAAGGCACTCGACACGGGCACGTGGTCTCAATCCTGGATCCCTGACCCTCGGGCATGAGCACAGGCACTGGTCTTGGGTACACCGAAACCAAGCCCAAGAACTCGACCCCCGCACCCGGGTTCCTAGTGCCTCGACCCGGGTCTACAAAGGCTAGGCCAAAGTCCCCGGCTCTCAAGCCTGGGTCCATCGAGGCTGTGCCCCAGACCCCAGCGTCCAGGCCTAGGTCGATCAAGGCAAGGCTTAGGACTTTGGTATCGGTGCCTAAGTCCATTGAGGCCGAGCCCTGGACCTCGGTCAATTGAGGTCGAGCCCGGGACCTTGGCATCAATGCTCGGGTCCATAGAGGCTAGGCCCCAGTCCCCAATGCCCATGCTCGGGTTCATCGAGGTGGGGGCCGGGACTCGGCACCAACCCTTAAGTCCATCGAGTCTAGGCCTTAGTCCCCAACGCACCCAAGTCCATCGAGGTCGAGCATTGACACCAGGGTCTCGGGCCCGGCCTCGATGGACCCAAGAGTAGATGCTGGGGACTTGGGCCCAACTTCGATGGACTCGGTCATGATCGTTGAGGTCCCAGGCACGGCCTAATGGACCCAAGTCACAGCATTGGGGACCTGAACACAGGTGCTTGGTCTTGGGCCTGACCTCAATGAACCTAGCCGCAAGTGCCGAGGTATACAGCTCAACCTCAATGGACCTGGGTCAAAGCGATGGGGACCTAGTCTTGAGCGCCCAGGGTTTGGGGCCCAACCTTGATGGACCCAGTCATGGGCGGTCAGGGTCCTGAGCATGGGCTTGACCTCAATGGACAAGGGCCTGTGAAACGAGGACTCGGGCTTGGGGCTTGGCATCGATGGACCGGGGCGCAGGTGCATAGGAACTAGGCCTAAGCATAGGAGTCTTGGGCTCAACCTCGATGGACCAAGACTTGGAAGTTAGGGACCCGAGCATCGGCGCCGAGGACCCAGGCCTAGCCTTGATGGACTCGGGCACGGCGACCAAGGATTTGAGTACTACCCATATGGACCTAGGTCGGGGCACTGAGGTCTCAGGCTCAACCTCGATAAACTCTAGTCCAAGTGTTGGGGACCTGGCCTTGCTACCAAGGGCCCGAGGACAAGCGTTGGGGTTCCTGTGCCCAAACTAAAGTTTTTCAGCCGAAGTGCCGATATCTAGTCATGTTTTGTAAAATATTTTCCTATTTTTTGAAGAGAAAATCATTTTCTTGAAGTTAAGTTTTGGTAGAAAAACTTTTTCTATTGACTCATTTTTCTGAGCGATCCAAACATCGAAAAATGAGGATTTTTCGCGAAACAAATAGAGCCGTAGTATCGGCAAAGAATTCTTCAACAATGCAATCTTTCATTTGGATACACTTGGAAGTACAGTGTGATCCCATTTCCACTCGCAGTCATAAATCGTGATGTGCTCTTGGTAGGACTTTTAAGACCGGGTACTATGCCCTCGAGCACAAAAGCTTTCCACAGCAATAGGATTGATAAGAGGGACATTAACTTTAACCTAGATTACACGGAAATAATTTCTTGTTTCCATGTGCTATCATAGTGCTAATATACATGTAATGTCATTCTTGTGCTATTATGTGCTACTGTGGATCGGAGCTGGTAGCTGCACTGTGGATGACAGAGAACTTCAACTCCACCTGAGAGAGCTTCCGAAGGAGCTCGGTTATAGGGACACCGACCTCAATTTGGCCGCTGGAGTTGGTCTTTATCGTCGTCCTGACTCCCGACGACAAACCGTTGTGCATTGCAAAAGGAGAAAATATGTTCAGGCTTTAACTCCAAATTGCCGAACCGATGAAGATGATTGTTTGTGCCTCGTGGACAAACAGATTGCCTTTGCGGTCATCTTCTCGATGGCGAGGATAGTGGGCGGGCCTTACCCCGCCTTCAATACTCTATCTGCCGATAACCCTTTCATAATCAAGATACTTGCTAAAATTAAGTTATCCACAACTATGTCGTACCGGCACTCAACACTCTTCTCTTGCTAACTCCATAATTCATCGGGTCTTAGGCTTCTATATTAAGCATTTCAAGGTTTTTTTTTGTGTTTAAGGCTCCTCAAGTTATGGAACTGGTTGCAGCTGATCAGTGCTTTCTAGTTTTACAAAATTGCCAGAACAGTGATGTACAAGCTCGCGAAGAGAACCATTTCTAAGAAGACTGCTTAAAACCTGCTTAGTACAAGGACAAACTGCAATGTGAGAGGTAGGATAGCGTACAAATCTATGAGGACTGAAGTTGGTGGGTTCTTTTATGAATCGAAGGGTGGTCGAAAATTTGTCTGGCATATGGACGTTTCTGGAAAACATAAATCACCATCCCAAGCAGTATCCACATCATTGGAAACACTACCTTTTCCATTTGACTAATTAACCCGGTGACAATTCTTCCCAACTTCGCCGTTGAACCCAATGAGAGGACTGATGGTGCCCATCTTGATCATGGACCCAGTAAACTACCGGAAGAAGAGGCTCTCGTCTTCGGCACAGGCTTTGACTAGCTTCATAGTCTTCATCGCTTTTCCGGTCAAGAGAACTTCAACCAAAGTGAGAAGGCCTTGCCCCACAACATTAGCCTGGAGTAGGTGCCGTCAAACTTTCTTGGGGAAGCAAAGTGCAAGGGCGAGATGTTGTCGTCGTCACCCAACTGAGGGAAAACTGACTTCAGATCCTGGTAGTATATCCTCTCAAGAGTGGCATCGGGTTATTTGTTCCCATTCTGGTTGTACAGCCTCTGCTTGAAGCTTGAACACCTCGCCACCCCAATCGTATGCCCTCCTGCAAATACCGGTAATAAACTTCATAATAGATTACATTGATAGAATTTAATTGGTCATGAAGGGGAAGAAAGAAGAAAAGGAAAGAAAGCAGTCAGAGCATCAGATGAGGTATATAGACTATGTAATGCCACTTGCAGTTAGAAGCGTTTGCCTTGCTGTAATTGACATATGTTTAGAACTTAGGTGACACGAAGAGCCTAGGGAGCAATTTTTCAGTGCCGAATGATTGGTGGCACCTGAGAGAGCGACGAGATCGGTTTCGTTTAGGCCTTGGTGCTGGAAGTGCGTGATGGGATTTTGAATTGTGGAGTTTGGTGGGGCAATGTTGTTGTTACTTGTTAGAGCATGTGAGACTTGCTGTTCTAGAGTCCCTCCTTCCAAGTGGAAGCTCCCAATTTGGTCCACCAATCTAAGGAAGTAAAACTACAGAAGAAATGTAGCTTACTGCATTTAGTTCAGATGGTCTTGGCGGTGTTACGTGTTTGAACATGGACACCTTTCCTAAGCTCAAACAGGGGAGTTTTAAGTAGAAGTGACCTGCAGATTTGACCTTCATATTTAAGCATTTAACAGGAGTGAATAATACGATGGGAGTATAAAACGTACCAGAACAGTAGATCCATGGGCTGCGAGGGCGGCGATATCTGCACAAGACACAATGCCAGGGCACGCTTCTTCCAACTTGCCTTGATTTCATCTATCACTTCAAACCCCCTAAGGGAGTTTGGGAAAGTTTAGTGACCTCTTCTCACTGGCTACGGTCGCGCTATCATCCCGCGGAACCGATGCATCACATCCCTACAACAAGTAGCTTGTTGAGCAATGTGTACTCTTACATTGCAGGCGCTGAGCAGCTCAAACGAATCCAGCACGACATTCCGTTAGGAAACGTCTGGCGTATGCTTTTGCCTCTCTGACTTGCCTTGGAAGAGGGAAAACACCCTACTATTGTTAGTGTTCTCATTTTTTACGAATGTTCTTGTCAATATGCTTCAAACAAAGCTACTGCTTGATCTATCTTGCTGCGCGTACCATTTGTTCGGAGCTTTTTTCATCCCAAATAGTTCCGGAGGAACCAGCCACCTCCATTCTCATCAGGAAGTCTTTGCTCTCCTCTTCATCAGAGTCACCGCCAACATCACCAGCAACAACGCCGCCAGCATCACCAATGCTCTTTGGTAGTTTTCCCTGTATTCGTATATCTAACAAAAATTGATGTCACTTCATAAACCAATTCAATTTTGCATTATAGAACGTACCCATATATGTTAGTTTCGGTACTTATATTTGGTAGTTAGGATTGACAACTTCTATTCTGTCATCATCTTAATATTAATTATTTGTGTCGTTTCGTGTTTTTACCAAAACTATTGATGTGATGGGATCTTTCATGTTCGTGTGGTATTGAGCTGCTCCCAATAACGATGTTAGGTTGGCTAAAAAACTTTACCAAATAGTAAAGTCTTTTGAGAAAATGATACAAATATTCTTCGAACTTCAGTTCAATATGCAATGTCGTCTATGAATTTTTAATCCGTGCAATGTGATACCTAAACTTTAACCTAATGTGCAATGTCATCTCTAAACTTTCAATTTATTCAATATGATTCTTGAAATATTGACAAATGTTAAATTTAATCCCTAGATTGTGTGAGAACGACACAAATAGAAAAACTATATTGAATATTTATCAATAGTTTTTAGACTACATTGAACAAATTAAAAATTCAAGGACAACATTGCATATTTGATCAAAATTTAGGAACCACATTACACAAATTAAAAGTCCAAGGTTGTCATTGCACATTAGACTAAAGTTTAGGTTAAACATTGCATAAATAAAAAATCCAAGTACAATATTACATATTAAACTAAAGTTCATAAATGATTTGTGTTTTATCCCAAACCGTTTTTCCCAAGGTATTACGATCATTTTTTGGGGTGCCGTGATGAGCAACACACAAACTCTCAAATTGCTCCAACCCTCAATAAAAAGATTATCACATCACTTAATAAAGAGGTTTGGTGAGATTTATTCGTTTATTTTTTGAAAAATGAATGATTTGGAAACTTTTTTTCTAAAAATGATTACTTTTCTGGTATTTTCATCATCCGCGAAAATATTTTTATATAAATTATTGTTGATTATGAAAATTTGTTTTACCGACTAATTATTTCAAACATACTAACGAATTCTTTTTTTACGAAATAATGGCACCAACCTAACATTTTTCGTCAATAAATTTGTATCTATACTTCGTTGGGGTGAGCAATTATTTTGTCCAGGTTCCACTTGAAACTAACTCGTCAGAACATGTTCCTTAATTTTTGCAACCTATAACTGCATACCCAGTAACCTAGAACCTACCATGTCACAGGTTTCAGACTACAGGTTCCACTTATACTCTTAATTGAACGATTGCAGTAAATTATCACATCTAATGACTACCATTTGTTATAATCCACTTATCACAATCCATATTTAGACACACTAAGAATATGAACCATTAACAAAATGAAAGTCTTAGTCATGCATATCGTCGAAAATGGAAGCTCATAGTATTGGCTTTAGATTATACACTCATCATTGGACGCCATGAATGCGGCAGGATCGCGCGAAGACATAAAACAAGAAAAACATAAAGACTGAAATCTGAAACTTACATATCGAAGCATGTTTTCCATTTTTGGAACCCGAAATCTACCCTACCCTAAAACCGGGAATTGAACCAATGAGTCTAGAACCTGAAGTTGGACCGTTTCACCGGTCCGGTTCTACCTGGAGCCATGCTCGACCTTATACTTTGCAGCGTCTTATGCGGGGGATGTTAATGAATTTTCGTCATAAGATCACACGACCATCCTGTTTCCAGGTAAATCCGGCAGCGAGGCTGATTCTAGAATTTGAGGCCATCGTCTCTCTCTCTCTCTCTCTCTCTCTAGATTTGAGGGGTGCACTGTGCAGAGGTCTGCATCATCTTTCATGGGTTCCATCCTCGGCGACTTGCCGTCGTTCGATCCTCACAACTTCAGCCATTTCAGGCCCTCCGATCCCTCCAACCCTTCTGTGAGTTTTCCCTCTTCTCTTGGCCTTCACCTTGTTCTTTTTCATTTGGGGAATGCGGGGGCGGTGTGCTTCATTTTAGTTCCTCAATTTCTGCTATCGATGCGTATGATCCTTTTCTTGTCTCTGTTCTTAGTCTATTCTTCGGTGGTGAAAGGTAATGAAGGATTGCACAGGGGAAGTGAAGTGTCGTCTTCAGCTTCCATGTCCGAACCGAGGCGTTTTTATCAGTAGAGATGGTTTGATAGAGTTGGGTTCTGCGCGTTTTGTGGCATAAATGGGGAAAAATTGAAACTTTATTCCGGCTGAATGAGTTCTTAACTTATGTCTTGATTCTTCCAGTTGGTTTTAGCCAGGGCTAGGATTCAGGCTGGTTGGGACAGCAATGCTTGTTCTTAGAAATGTGTGTTTTTATACATATTGGACGCATTGAGAATATGTTGCCTTGCCATGGCTTACCATGTCTATCTATCATTGGATGAGGTTTTTCTGGTCTTCTTGGCTCTGTCCTGCTCAAGTGCTAGTTCTAAAACCTGATAAACACTGGGAATTAGGGCTGTCGCGAGAAGTCTTAAGCACAATTTTGCTGCCTCTATTGTGTCCTTTGCGACAGGGCCATAAGCTTTTAGCCAACGAGCCATTGTAGTTCGGCCAGATGGGCACACGGAGCTGCATCTTAGTGACTGGTTTAAAACATGGTGTTTTAAAGTTTGCATGGATGATTTAATCTTGAAGAGATGTAGAGTAACTTCTCCTTCGAAATTCTGGCAAATTAGTTGTGCTTGTGCAGGATTCCTGTAGACTTTAAGAAACTTTAATTGCATAACAAGTTTCCAGTCTTTGAATAAGGTTCCTTCTTGATTTAGAGGATTCTTATGGTAGTTATTTTCAAGATTATGGGGGTTATATCAGGACATCCACTGATCTAAGCTGCACCTATCAAAATCAAGGGGCCATTCATAGTGTTTGGATCTAATATTTCAAGTTATCAATGACTGGACAAAACCAAGAAATAACGCTTCACATGCAGTCGCTGTTGGCAATTCAGCTGTCCAACAAATGACACAGCTTATGTCTGGTGATTGGTGAATAAAGCGAGCTCTCTTCAATTCCTCCTTGGTTGAGGAAGCTAGATTTAGTCAAATCGCCTTGTGGATGACAATGAACTCTTTGCTTTATGACCAATGTCCTATTGCAGAAACACTGTCTTGTTACTTTTCGATTGGAACAAGAAATGGCATGGACCTGAGATAAGATGATTCAAACATAGCTTTACTTACATTTTTAAAATGTTTTGTGTAGAAAATGACGCCTACAACCTATCATCCCACCCACAGCAGGACTGTTCCACCACCTGATCAAGGTAATATCGAATTACATATGCATCTTCAGCACTTTTCGCTCATTGAGCTAACGTCGATGTTGATGTGGATCTTGAACTCTTTAACTGATTGTGAAGAGAATGTCACTTTTATGTGGAAGATAAGCAGTTTTTCAATTTCAGTTTTTGGAGATGTGGTTCTCATCCTCTTATTGCGATCACCCTGACTTGGTTGCAACTCCTTCCAGTGATAACTACTGAAGCCAAAAATATTCTGATAAGAAATTTCTATCGGCGTGCCGAAGAAAAGGTCAGTCATTCATATGAAACCAGAATTTTGATAACGTACATAGCATGTGCCTCTCTTACGCATCCTTTGCATTTCTCATCCATAGACTGCACATGCTACATGGATGAATGTTCATATGCATTTGCACTCTTCGTGGGGTTGTATGTCCACCTCAGAGAGAGAGAGAGAGAGAGAGAGAGATGCTTTTCATTGCTGATTAGCTTTTGTCAATATCAGATGAGACCAAAACGAGCTGCCTCTGAATTTCTTGCACAAGAACCAGGATGCAAGCAACCGAGGGCTTCCATGACCACCTCAGATACCCCATAATGAGCTTCTACATCGGGGATTGCGACATGAGAAGTTCAGCAGTCTCCTCTCATTGAGTGTAGATATACAGCTGTAATATCAGACTGGTGTGTAGGCTTCGCATATACCTATTAATGGTATGTCGTTGCTGATCTTGTGTCTGTTATTCGTTGATGCTAGTTGGCTTTCTGTGAAGAGAGTGTCTTTTGGGACATGCGCAGCCTCTCCCCATGTACATTGGAAATAATAGATACTTTATTTTCACTATCTCTATAAAGATGTTCCAAGTAGCGACTGTAGTGCACAAAATCCAAGGGTAAAGTCAGTAGTACTAAAGTAGTCATTTTCGTGCATTAATACTGTCTTCGATGCAGTAGAAAAAAAATCTGTTTTCCTTTTCCATGGCTAATTTCTCTGGTGACGTTTTTTGCTGCTTAAGAAGAGAAAATGGAAAAGCTTTCATGTTACTGGGTCTAATCTGCCAATTAGATTAAGTATTAGTGTTTGCATGACAGATGTGCTTGACTGATGGCTGCATGTCATCTCCTTCCAGTTCATACATACGTGCTGCTCTTTTTTATGTCTCAACTATGCTCATTCGGTAAACAAGCGCTACAGATTAGTTTGTCCATGAATGGTTTATCTCAAGTTTAACTACACCTGTTTCACGAACCTATGTGAAATCTATGTTAGAAAGTTTTTCGTTCTTTCTAGCAATGCAATGGATAGGAGAAGTAAACAAATTTTAATCTTCTGCATCTATGTCTTTTGTTTGACTCTTTTCTTTAGGTTTAGCGATCGGCTCGATGACTTCTTGTCCACATCCTTTACGAAACATTAATTTCTGAGATTTCGGAAGGTGCAAGCCCATGAATATACCCCAATCAAATACCTGGAGAAGTTTTCAGGTCTTTAAGGATCATGTCTTTCGTATAATTATACATGAGATCTTTTGAGTGTAAGATGATTAAAAGAAATTACATTTCATCTCTGTGATCATTGAATAAATAGATGACGTAGTTTTCTTAGAGCATTTAAGAATCTCCCGGACATATAGATTATGCAAAGGTTTGAGTCATGATCAGTACTTATCGATGACTCTTAGAGATAGAACTGAAGGAGCTTCGGAAAGGGTGAATGCAACGTTGTAACGATGCCGACATGGGTGAGTAGGCAAAAACTGTCTTCGTACGGGGTGTAGTTCCTGCCGATGTTCGTCCTGTTCATGATCTTGTGATCCTTGGGAAAATATGAGAGATCTCTATAGCCGATGTACCCCACATGGGATACCTTACAGGTTATACTTTTTTATGCTTTTGTGAACTTAATGGAGAATCCAACTTATTAACCATGCCTCTATATCTTAGCAGAAGCCCAGGGTGTGGCGTGTCTACCTTTTCTAAGCGTTATCCTGGAGGTCTCACTGTCATTTTTATGAAATGTTGGGGTTTAAAATGGCAGAGCGGTTAGACACCTCACACTACTTGTAACTTGCTGGTTAAGGTGAGCGAAGCCTGTCACCGTAGCTCATCAAGAAATTACAGGCCTGAAAATCCGTATACCACAGCGAGATGCCAGCATTAAGATGACAAGCGAGTTCGAATTCGTGACATTGCTTTGGACAATAGCAGCTCGTTGCCTCGTACCGCAATGTTAGAACCATCACTGGTGATCTTCTAGGATAGGATACTTCTGCAGACCTGGAAGCAAAATCCGTTCTTAAGCCGTGAATTTCTTGAATTTGTCGTAATTTATCTAATGCTGCCGTGAGTCTTTCCTTTTCTTTTTGGCCACAACTCGAGACCAAAAGAACTTGAATGACAACAAAAGCCATGCAAGTTCATGGGGCGATTTTCCTCAAGCAACAGAAATGAGCAACAAACACTGAAAAATGGATTAAAACTTGAATTGCAGCTCTTGGAAAAGCTTCTGTTCTGTTCTAATGGCTTTTGGAGGATCCACTGATGTCCCCAGTTCCACTGTCCAGCGGCGACAATGATGTCCTTATGAACTGCAGCATCATCCATCTCAATGACAACCATGTCCCATGCTGCCAAAACCTCTCAAACCTTTTCTCCTCTTAGTCATACTTTGCTCGACCCCCAACCCCCCTACACCCATCAAGTCATTGTAGTTCTTCTGTAAGTCATTGCAAATGGATAAGTTAGTAACAATCCTTCACATCGTACGGTAATTTACCTTAACGTCTTGTTAGGCTGAATATCCGAGCATCCGTAACATTCCATGAAAAGACATTACTGAATTTCTCATACCTCTTCATGATCATGTGAGCAATTGTCTTCGTGCGTAGTCTTCCTGAATCCATAGTAACATGACAATCTTTTAGTCAATAATTTTCCTTAAATGTTGGTGAGTTGCTACATTTATAAAATCATCCAACGGTTGAATTTTTTTTTTAAATAGATCATGCTACAAACGGGATCGGTCCTATAGATTGCTGGAATGATATATAGAAGTTCTTTCTCATGAAATATAGGGAAAAGAAACTCCGGATATTTCACCTTTTTTATGTATGGAAAAATGTTAATACCATTAAAAATCCCAAACTAGAATCTCGGTACATATTTACCAAAAATTAATTTTCTTCTTATAATTTTTTAATTGATACAACATGACACATTTACCCTAATCTAATTCTTTTTATTATATAAAAAATCTCAAATCGATACACTTATTGCTTCATTTTAATTTTCTTTTCATAAAAAAAATCTCAATCAATAACCCTGACCCAAATCTCTCGTTCCTTAAAGTGCATGCATGTTAACACGAATGGATTTTCCACATAATATCATTCTTGTAGTAGTCTAAAATTTTAACCAAATGTTGGGTGTAACGATAACGAAAGGTGCCTTTGAGCCAATGATACAAGTTTGGATTTTTCTTCGAGATGAAAATTACTCCGGATAAATTTGTCATGGGGCACCGTTTTGAAAATTTTTGTGAGACAAAAATTAGTTTTGAGTAAATGTATCATGGCTAAATAGTTTGGAATTTTTATAAAACAAAAATTAGTTTGGTATAAATATATTAACAATGAAAAAAAGGGATAACTACACAAACAGTCCATGAACTTTATACAAATGTTCAATGTGGTTTATAAACTCTTAATATGTTCAATATCATATATGAATTTTTGGTACATGTTCAATTTAGTCCCTGAACTATATGAAAATGTTTAATGTACTCCCCGATAATATCGGGGAGTACATTAAACATTTTCATATAGTTCGGGGATTAAATTGTATATTAGGTCAAAATTCAGAAACTGTTTGTGTTATTTTTCCTAAAAAAAGGTAACGACAAAGCAAAAGGAAAACTTCAAAAATAAAGAAAAAGCAGGAACTAGCAGTTTCCAACGAACGCGCGCATCAATGTCAAACTCAATCTGACGAAGACACGTGTACCCTCGCACCGAGTTCCGGTTCCGTATAAATGTCACAGATCGAATCTCAGCCGGTCGTGACCGCACGCCCACAGAGCAGCGATACACTCCGCCGCATGCGAAATTCGCTCTGCTTCTCCTAGGTTAGGGAGACAGCTCTGTCTCCAAGCTTCCTGCGGGACTCATAAGCATACGCCTAGAGACGGCTCTGGCTCGGTCGCCGCCGCAGGGAGACGAAGAAGCAAGCATCCATGGCGGCGCCCGAAGCTCCTCTCTGCTACGTCGGCGTCGCCCGCCAATCTGCTGCCTTCCGCCTCATGAAGCAAATGGTACGCCGTGTGTTGGCGTCCGTGCGTGCGTGCGTGCGTCCGTGTTTGCTCTTGATAATCTTTTTCGTTTGCATATGAATCGATATGAGGCTTGGGAGTGCTAAAGGAGGGATTTTTGGTGGTTTTTGGATGTGTTCCGTGGTGGGTTTTTTATTGTTCGGTGCGGGTGTTGATAGGGGTGGGAAGAAGGAGAAGGTCTAGGCAAGGACAAGCAAGGGATCAAAGGCTACGTTAAGGTCAAGAACAAGCAGGACACTACAGGTTCGTGCGTGCGTGGTTTTCGTGTTTCGTTTCACTTTTAATTGATGGTGATCGAGGTTTTGCGTTATTGTTCTTATTGTGTGTGGGTGGTGTGCTCGTTTTGGTGACCTTGATAGGGGTTGGTCTTGAGAAGCCGAACGAATGGGCGTTCGACACGGCTCAGTTCGATAGCATTCTCAAGAGATTGAAAGTGGTAATGCAAGTTTTCTGCTTTTTCATATTGCTGTTTGTGTTCCGCCTCTTGCGGTGTTTAGTATTTGTTTTGATGTTTCTAATTGGATTTCGGGCTCTTGCATGATGGTTTGCAGCAAACAGCAAATCCCAGTGATGAAGGTAAAAATAAAACGTTCTTAATGTATGAATTTTTGCTCAATAACCATGCTTCGTAAATGTATGACTTAAACTTGTGCTGCGTTTGTTTCGCTCGATTATTTTTTGGGTCTTGATTTGAGAAGCAATGGAAGGTAGTCATAGTTCTGTGTTACTTTTTCTTGGCAGCTACTGAGAAGAGAACTGAAGTGGAAGATGATAAAAATGACTCTAATGATGCTCAGGCCCCAGTGCCTAAGGTTACTCGAGCAAGGGGAAGGTATGTAGTGTTTAGGATACTGCAGGATTGCTCTGCAGTGTCTGTGTCTGTATTTGCATATATAGTGAACTTTCTTTTTAGTGATTTCAGCTATTCTGTTATTTCTTGATAAATAGGTATAAGAAGAGAGAAAGGGGGAAGCTTGTCCATGCTTATTCATCACAAGATCTTGAAGGAATTCTTGTACGTTGCTAGCTGTAGCCATTCCTTTTATCCTATCTTTCTTGATCCGTTATCATGATATTTTCATAATGTTTGATTAATTGCCATGCGGTTTTTGAGTCTATGTGTGCAACAGAGGACGAGCACCTCTTAGGAGGAGGCTCCTTCTGTCAACAATGAACTTTTATCATTTTATTTTGCACAAAGACTGCGAGATGTAACGTGCTGTCTTTCCAATCTTGGTAATGATTATCAGTCTTTCTGTCAGATTACAAATAATTCAAGTATGGTTATAATAAATGAAAAAAACTTATCAGGTGAGGAAATTATTTGTGTCCTTTAGTCAACAAAAATATTGACACAGCCAATGTGTTTTATTTAAGGTTTGGTTGTCCGTTGATTTCTTTACCCATTTTTTATGTTCATAATGGTTCTTTCATTAGAGGAGGACATCTACGGGTGCGCTCAGATTCAAGAATATCTTCCTAGAGACCCTTCCTTTAGTATCTTTCGGTTCCCAGCT